CAAGATTTCGCAGACATGGTTTACGGGAGAACAGCAGCAACAGATCAGGTCGGGTGCCCAGGGTGACACGGTCGCTGAATCGTCCACAGTCACCTGGCAGGACTTTGACATCGCCATGACCGTTCCCGAAGCCTACTACGACAACAGGCACTACTGGTTCCGGATCGACACCTATGCGACCCCGAACACCGGCTATGTCAAAGGGAGAACGTTCTATTGCCCTGGATGTGAAGCAATGAAGTTGGCTGAGTGCTACGCACAAGCCTTCTTCAAGCCGACCGGAAACGGGTATCCTGGACACTGCATTGGGTGCGCGCATACTTCAGCTTTGAAGATGCAGCATCAAATCGGCTCCTTTAATGACTTGGTCTCGTCCCAGAAGTACACCTTGGCTTGCGCAAAGCACCTTTATGACCTGAGGCTCCAATTCGTGGATCCTCGCGTGGACATCAAGGAGTTCCTCAAAGTTTGTGCGGAGATGGTCTATGAAGACATCGGCAAGACGGTTTCTCACTACGGTGGTCTCCGAATCACAGCCAGTCAGGCCATCGAGTACGCGGCATGGGGAAAGGCCAAACAGTTGGCATGGGACAGAGGGTACGACTCCGAAGGCAAGACATGCTACATCTGCTACTACGATGCCGGGAACTGCGCTTATGCTGGTTTCATGAGAATGCTTTTGACTCCGGAAGAGCGCCAAGAATGCTACAGAGGGTCAGTCTTGCCCAAGGAAGAGCTCCTGGGTGACACGGTGGAGCTGGCGCTCGGGCTTCTTACAATTGCAATGAGACACCCAAGTCATTTTCCGAATTGGGGTGGCCTTGAGGGAGCAAATGCGTGCGCGAGGGGAATCGAAAGATCATTCTTCCGCTACGCGTCGGCCGAAGCTATCGAGCTGATCACGGTTGACTCCCCGCGCAAAAGGACACCGCCCAAGAAGAATGAAGCAGTCGCTGAGATCGTCAACAACATGTCCGCTGACCTCGTGATTGATTTCACAGTGATCGTCGATGGTGATATCTACCCTGTAGAGATTGCGAGAACCGACGAGACACAGGCCGCTGACAACGTCACGGACGATCCAGGGTTCTCAGTTGCTCCACCAATACCTGCACAGGATGTAGATGTGGATGCGCAACCCGAAGAAGAACAAGGTGCAGAAGGCCCTGATCCCAGGCATGCAATTCGTGAAGGATTTGTCGCGCAGCTTCAGGACTATGTGGGAGTACTCGCTCAGGGCGAAATGTCGGTCGGAAGCGACCGCCTCACGTTCTGTGTCGCTTGTGGCAGTGATCTACACACTCTGTCCAATTGCACAGAAAATGCTGCGACCCGGGATCTGGTACTTCGAGGCGTCCAGATTATCAAGGAAAGCCTTCTTCGATATCCACGTCGAGTACCTCCACAAGAGGCTGAGCCAATGGACGTTGACACCACAGACCATGTGAGTGTTGCATCCTCGGACCGACGACCCAAGGCCAAAGCCCGACCGCGACGCGGAGGCGAAGCCGTACGGGGTGATGTGGTCTTGATCCGTTATGAGAACAAACACAATCTCTGCACGGATGTGGAGAACCGTCGGGGCCTACATGATGCTTGTGGCGTACCACTGCAGGAATCGGGACCAGAGAATAGCCAGCGAGTGGTGGACCTCATTGAGCAGCTTTCGGACCATCGCGACCGACGCCTACCTCAACGAGGAGACCGTCCTAGCTTTGCTTACGATGATACCACTCATAGCTACACCAATGCAGGCTACGAATCCATCGGCGGCGGAAGGCCAATCCGGTGCGGGATTCTCGACCTGATCCCAACCAAGGGTGCAAGCTTCATCAACAATCGATGGGACCTCGTGAACGAAGTTGTCCTTCGCGACATCACCCGTCAGCGCAGGCTGAATGCGGATTGGGCGCTATCATGCATCCAATCTGACCTGCGCCACAGAATCGCCAGGCGCCCAGGCTCGGAATGGCTTGACAACAGGTGCCAGGTGGCATTCAACAGTGTCATCAAATGTGATGAAGGAGGGTGGGTGATGATCGAAGATTTGGTGAGGCATGAGCCACTATGGACCCATGAAAGCAGACGCATCACCGAAGCGGTCTCAAGGACCGATGACCCAGACCCCCGGGCGGATCTACTTTCTAGATCCACATTTGTGTGCGGATCTACTTTTGCACAGGGGGTTCTAGAAATTGATGGTCGCTGGAAAATGCCGTTCTTGGTAGGTCTTGTACAAAAGTAGCCAAGAAGGCTCTGCATGCCAAAAATTAATCATTTGGCTCAAACAGTGCGGGAAAGAAAAAAAAAAAGAACCCTAAGGCCCTAAAGCTCAAAACCTTAATATACCCGACCCTAAAACCAGGATGCAGGGGCAAAAGTATACAAATAGAAACCCATATATACAATTATCGCAAATTAAACGAAATTTCAGTGGCAGTTCGGATGAGTGGGGGCGAGAGAATTTAGTCCTCTACTCGAAAGAGATCGCTCATGTGGCATTCCACGAATCCCGAACTTTTCGTTGTCGTCGTCGTCGTCGTTTATTCGTCGTCATGTCACATGCAGTTGCTGTCGTTGCGAAAGCCGTGGCCGGCAACTGCTCTGGCTGACAGGGGCAGAAAGGGTCGGGAAAGGGTTTGCAAACTGGGCTTTGGACTTCACTGCAGGTTGCACGTATTCCCTGGGTTTCAAGCTCAATATATTCATCCTGTGGATCTGCTGAACTTAGATTTTCCGGGTGATTCAGATCAGGCTGCAATTCGCTCTGTAGGGGCCTTGTAGATGTTACAGCGGGGACCCTTGCCTACAAACCCCGACGAACACAAACCCCGAAAACCCAGTCGAGGTAGTAGTCGGTTGCCGTTGTCGTGGTACACTTCAGGAATAACCTGGGCTCCGGGTCCAAGTAATTCAGCTTCGGGCTTTATTTCAGGGCTGCAGTTTCGCAATGGCGAAATCAAACATGAAGCGACCAGCGGCTCTGAAGAAGAGCACGGCGAAGCCGGCGGCGAAGTCGGCGGCGATGAAGAAGTCCCCGTCGACGGATGATGAGCCTCGCAAATCACGAGTGGGGTTCAAGAATGCGGGCACGTTGGCGGAGTCTTTGAGTCCTTTCGTTGAGAAGAGATTCTTCACGAATTACACCACTGATCGTGCGATCAAATCTATGGACAAGAAGAAACTTTGTTCTTCGTACACTGGGATTTACAATTAGCACAACCTTCTGGAGTTTTCTTGGTCCGGTTAGAACTAAGAGGCTTTTCGTTTGCATTTCTGCTAATACAATTGAGCATCGGATATTTCGAGGTTGTTTCAGGGCATCCTCAACAGCTGCAGACAGCTGAGCCCCACGTGGAACTTTCCGGATACTGTTATCAAGAAGGCATTGCTAGCGATATTGAAGAGGGAGGACTGGAGCTACGAAGATTTTGCAACTTTTTCTAGGTCCTATCCTGAAACTACCGAGATCGTGAGTGCTATTTGTCATAAGTTGCTAATATAGTGGGAGGACAAGCAGCACTTGGCCGAGCAGATTAAAGAGTGCGATCGGGATGCATGGTCAACAACCAATTCCTTGAGACTCAGTGCCGCATTCCGACATTATGCCCAAGCTACTCTTCGTGGAAGGGATTGGGTCCCAAAGGCACCATATGTCCTCGTATATTTAGGATTCTCTGCGGTTTCTGGAGGACTTGTTTTGTGTGTGTATTTTAGCTGACCCCTTCAGGCGCACAAACCCTTGAAGAGATTGCCTTCGGATATGCCTATTGGACGTAGGAGGGTCAAGGGAAAGCAGCCAGACAGGGCAGCGAAAGTGGAGGGCAAGCCTGCTGAACAGCATGATCTTATGGAGGAAGGGCAGGAAACCCATGATGGTTCTGATGCAGGCCAAACCAGCGACGGCACGGCAAGTAGCAGCACTACCAGCAGCAGCAGCAGCAACAGCAGCGACGCTTCGCAAGCTGTCAACCAGCAGGCACAGGAACCACAAGTGCCAAGCGGTCCTGAAAGCAAGCCCCGGCAGCAGCATCCACAGCAGCTCAGCAGCAGCCCGCAAGTCAATGCCCAGGAACAAAGCAAGTGCCAAGACCAGAATCCGTTGAAGCAAAGCGGCAGCAGCAGCATCAGCGGAAGTCCGCAGGGTCTATCTGACGTTTGGATGATTTAGCCTTGCTGCTCCATTGTAGAAATTGAGTTCATTCCACAAACTTGCATCGCGAGAATTCCCGAACTTATAATGACTATATTGTTATACTTACAACTCCGGCCTAGCAAAGATCCCGCAAAGGAAGAGGCTGCCGCCTTCGTCCGCAGCGATTGGTTCCTCAATACCTTGGAGGGCATGATGGGAGGAGATCTGGGCCAGGATCCATCTACGAGTAGTGCGAGTTACTCGGCTTTTGTCTTAAATAAATAGTATGGAGTCGGTGTTGAGTCGTGAGCTTCAAGCTTTCGGATTTCCAGCCAAAGGCTTATATAATTGGTTAGGGCTTAGGGTAGTCAGGGTCAACGATTCGTGCTGGGCTCCTTGATGGTTTGCGGGCTTGGGAAGGCTTGCTAGTGCAGGGGCTCAAAACTCCGAAGGATTTATTGCTCTGTAGGGCCAGACAGTGCAGCCCTCCATCCGCTTGATTCTAGATGTCAGAGATCCGTTAAGCCCTTTAAGTTTTATGCATGTCGCCGTGCCATGGCGAACCTCTGGGTACATCAGCATCTGAATCTAATGATCTCGACGACTCGGAAGCTTGGTTGACGGAGCTGCTGGCTTACGGCAGAGAGAGACAACGACGGAGACCCTCGCAGTCTGCATCAGAATAATCATGTGTGTGTGTGTGTGTGCATATATGTGGGTATCCCTTCAGGGAAGGGTTTAGGGCCTAAAGTTTAGGGTTTAGGGCTTAGGGGCTAATTGCATCTAAGAATTGGTGGCACCACCAGACCATCTCGAAGTCCCGCTCGTTCCCATTGCCGCACGTCCTCCGGGTGCTGTTTGGGAGATGAATGGTTCAGTCGTTCGTTGTGTTTCCGATAATTACTGGAAGCTTCGAGTGCCAAAACACCTGGCTGAGCTACCTCGCTTGAAGGGCTTGATCCAAGATATTATGGCCGAGCCTTGTTTGAAGCTTGACCTGTTGCCTTCGCAATCACTAGCGAGCAAAATACTTGAACGTGCGAACCTCGTGATCCGGGGCCTGGCTTCCAGCTCCTACTTTAAGATCGGCTTGACAAGCAATCCTGTTCATAGATGGAGCAACGATGGCTATGGCTACTTGCACAGCTCCAACCCTTCCTGGAATGAAATGAGAATTGTTGGTATTCTTGCCTCTGGAGAAGCTGCTGGGTTTCTAGAAGCAGCCCTGATTGACCGATGGCAACGGGACAATCGCTGCACAAATTCTGCTAGTGGCGGCGAAGGCATTTCGACTCAGGAAGGTCCGTTCTGTGTGTACGTGGTAGTGTCCACAAGATGATGCTGCCTGTGTTATAGCTGCAACCCGTGGCCTGTCCCACGCTGCAAAAAAAGGACGGCCTCGAAACTAAGCCTTCTTAAAACCAAGCTCTAATGATTCTGATGCCCAATTCTAAAGCTTAAAATGCTCAACACCCTCAATATCCCACTAAATTTCAAAGCCTAGATCCCGAACGACCTGAAGCCCGACCCTCGAACCCCAAACAAAACCTCACCCTAAACCTAAAACCGTGATCGGAAGCAAGATTCTTTTTTTGCACAATCCTCTCAGGCTACCTTTCTCCGACTCCCGGTCCTCCTCGGCGACGAGCAGCCGAGACAGCGAAGCAGGAGGAAGCCTCGCCGAAGACTCCGAAGCAGACCCTCCTTAAGTTGAAACCAATGGACCCCGACGAAGGCGACGACAAGGACGACCAGGCCGACAAGCCCAAGCCCAAGAGAGCCAAGAAATCCAGCGACGCCCAGAAGAAGGAGAACGCCGACGCCGAGAAAAAGAAGAAGGAGAAGAACCCCAACGACACCGACGCCGAGAAGAAGGAGAAGAAGCCCGACGATGCCGACGCCGAGAAGAAGGAGAAGAAGCCCGACGATGCCGTCGCCGAGAAGAAGGAGAAGAAGCCCGACGATGCCGAGAAGAAGAAGGAGAAGAAGCCCGACGACGCCGACGCCGAGAAGAAGGAGAAGAAGCACCACGACGCCGACGAGAAGAAGGAGAAGAAGCCCGACGATTGCCACAAGAAGAAGGAGAAGAAGCCCGACGACGCCGACGCCGAGCATGACGAGAAGATGCCCGACGATGCCGACAAGTCCAAGGAGGCTGCTGGCGATATCAAATGGAATCCGGAGCTGGGGAAGGCCTGCTGGCAAAAAAAAGAAGGGGTTATCATTTCATCCGTTCCTTTCGTCGACAAGGATGATGAGGTTAAGGTCTCGTTCGGTGGCTTGTTATGGAGTGTTCCTCATCTCGTACCCAGTGATCTCGATTCCTCTATGCCACCAAAGAATCCCATGCAAACCCAAACCAAAGTGAAGGCCGTGCCGAAAGCCAAACAACTGAAACCCGTGGACGATTATATCTACCCGATCATCCGCTGCAAGTACTGCACACAAGGCTCCAAGAACCCCTTGATCAAGATCGAGGTACGAGAAGATCGCCACAATCTGCGGTCCAAGTGGGTGCAGAAGCTGCAGCTGGTTGTGAAGGACAACCTCAGTGTCCAAAAGGCAATGCACATTGCCAAGAGCTTCGCCGATTCCTACGTGTACATGAACCTCAATCCCGGTCAGTTAAACTTCAGGGGCTGTAGGGAGTCTCTGCTGGCTCACGAGCACGACTGGGAAACATCGGCTTTGGATTGGCAAACCATCAACAAGCTTGGCCTCAAGCACTTCCCGAACTCGCAATTCAGCTATGGTTTGTGTAAGCCTTTCCTAGTTCAAAGAAGCTTATTATTGGCTACCCACATGATCCCTGCATGTAACATACATGCTTCCTATATATACATGCAAACCATCTCATACTTCATGCATTCTCGTAGACGCATGGTCGTACGCACGCAGACACACTCACACACACACACACACACTCATTCCGTCATCATGCATACATATATACATACATACATATATACGTACATACTTATAGATGCATCTATACTAATCTATACATACACACATACATACATACATACATACACACATACATGCATGCATACATACATACATAGATGCATACCTACATACCCGATCCCAGGCCGCACGATTCCCCTATCAAGATGCAGAGGGTGGCGAAGACCCAGATCGCGAACGATGAGGAGAAGGCGGTGGAGGGAGATGATGCTGATGATGGTAATGACAATGAAGAAGCTGACGAAGAAGAAGAGAACACAGATGACCCTACAGTAGATCCGGGGGAGCTTCACGAAGGCTCCTAGACTGATTCTTTCCGGTGCTTCAATTAAATACTATGGACTTCAGATATCTAACTATACAAAACCCCAAAGCAAAACACAAAACCCTAAACCCGCAAATCAGATTCCCTAAGCCGGAATTACATATTCTGGCCTTTGATACCTACAAACCCCTAAACCCATACCCCAAACCCTAAATCCCAAAATCACAAAAGCTTAAACTTCTCCCTGTACCCTGAATCGCTCAGGCTTCGCACGCCTTGGTTCGGCGGCCTCTGAGTTGTTGGAAAACGAGGACTAGCCCAGACGCCTAAACTACCCTTTAGCATACACCACAAGCCAATCCCGATGCCCTGAAACTTTGTCCCATGCAGCGAGACTCCGAAGAGCCTGTGCATCAATCAGCTTGCCACCACAGACCATAGAATCTTAAGGCTTAAGGTTGAAGTATGGTAGGGTAGGGTCATTCAGGTTCTAGGAGTCTAGGTCCAGATTCTTGGTGTTTATGCAGCTACGGTATGTGCCCTTATTACGCTAGCCTCTCGATCTTATCTTACTTGGGTATCAGCCATACATAATAATAGTCTGGGTGGCCGTGCAGGCTTGGATGAAGCATCGTGCGATTTTCCTTAGTTGCAGCAGCTGAGCACGGAGCTACTTCCCCACGAACACCTATATATACGGTCCCCACGAACACCTATATATACGGTCCTTTGCTTATGTTCAATGCACTAACCTTAAAAGCCTGGCCCCATCGTCTCCGTCGATATAAGCAGCTGCCCTTTTGCCGACACTTTATGCAGGAAGAAATTTCTGCTTGATCTGTAAGATGAGCTCCAAGGCTTCTGGGATGACTGTGTGCACGTTGCTCAGATGTTTTAACTTAACGATTGGAGTGGTGCCGCTGAGTGTACTATTGTGTAACACACACCATTCAATTTTATCGGTATGTCATCGTGGTTCTTTGAAAAATAGCCCACCGCCCGAACTAATCAATACTCCTAATCTTTAAAACCAAATCATCAGTCCTTATATAGCACTCTCGACCCGGGTCGCTATATGCAAGAATCATAGGTTTTGGATTATCGCAGCCCAGAAGCCACGCAGCGGGGCCGCTGTAGAGCCACGTCCAGACTTTGAAACCAACCTTTTCTAAAAACCCTAAACCCTTGAATATACACGCCCCTATATGAACCCTAAGCCCAGGCCCCTATACTCGATCTCTGATTAATCCCCCCACCTACACCGCCCAGGCCCTCGGGATCTAGAGCCTCGTAGTGCTGCGACCTGTCATTGCTGGCTCCATAAGTAGAACCTTCGCCCCTGATTTCTTGCATTCTAAAAACTGGATCCCATATAGAACTGGCTACACTGCTTATTATATAGGTATAAATATATATATATATATAAGAATATATGTGTATATATATATATACATATCGTGTTTGGGTCTGGAATTGGAGCCCCCCCTAGTCGTATATTTGCATTCTACTAACTGGATCCATATCTAGTTGGGCCCTGAACCATATATACAAGCCCCTAAACCCTAAGCCTAAGTCCTGAATCTTCCACGAATCCTCCCGCCTGACAGCTGTACACCCAGGGTCCTGGGATCTGGAACCTTGTAGTGCTGCGATTCTGTCATTGTTGGATCTAAAAGTAGAACCTTCATTTGTCTAGTGGATCCACAAGTAGAACCACAGCTATAGTCTATGCTTGCATTCTAAAGATTGGATCCTGTATATCTATATATGAATATATATAGTCTGGACTATACGATATTAATAACCCATATATAATATATATATGCTATATATATAGCTATAGCTAACAAAATCAACGACTTATGGCTGGATCCAGATTTACCCATGGGTGGCTCTACTTTTGCAGGCCTCGTGGTGTCCCAACAGCCCACCAGGGGTTTTTAAGACTAGCAGTCGTACGTCTTGCAAAATCACAAAAGCCCCGATATCGTGCTGCTCTTCGAGTAGCCTAGTACCGTGTGTCGATGTTAGAGTAGCAACGTACCAAAGCGCCGATTTGGTGTGAATTGTGCTGATCTACCGGCAAGAGTGCCAGCGAAGAGCTGGGGCCGACAATGAGGTATGGAAGTGGATCCCCGATGAGCCCCCCGATGAGCCCCATTAGGACGTCATACGTGCTGTCTGCTCCTATAAGTAAGCAACGCAGAGAATGAGGTATCAAAGTAGATCCCCGATGAGCCCCCCAATGAGGTATGATGAGGTGTTCTGGACCCAGAAGATACACAAAGTCGTGCAATCTAGACCAATTGTAGCTAGTGTTGCGATCACGCAGACTCAACCACTGAACTCGAGGTTCCACTTCTATGGCTATTGTCTCGATCCGATGATGTGTGTTTGTGATGTATACATATCTCGAGGAAAGGTACAGGAAGGCCTAGGCTAGGGTAGCTGGGTAGATCTCTTTTTGCTGTGCCAGAGCACGGCATGATGAGTGCTATGGATAGTCGGGAGACCCTGACCGCCGAGACCCTTGTTGATGCCCCCCAAGAGGCTGAAGCGCCCGCCGCAGCTCCATCGCCGATAGCGACCGCCAGTGCAGCTCCATCGCCGATGACCTCCGAGTCCGAAGCCCGAGCAATCACGAACTATGCTTCACACTACAGGAGAGATCCGAAAGATGTTAGCATCGAGATGGTTCGGGCTTCCGCCGAAGGGGCTACGCACTGGGCGACTGTAGGTCTGGACTTGACCGCTCGCTCTCCCTTGGGCCAAAGTATGAACCGTGCCCTAAAGCACAAGCCGGACGTGAAAGCCATGTACGGCCTCATGCTAGACCAGTTTAAGGGGGAGTTCAGAAGAGCCTGGGCTGTTCAAAAGGACTTCGAGTTCGTTCGTACGGTGAAAACCACGGAGAACAGCTTCAGGAAGAAGCGGGAGGATTTGGGAACCTACAAGACCGAGCTTCAAATCACCCAGCTGCTTGGGGGCACCGATCAACCAGCCGCCGTTGAGCAAACCCAGAACTATATCAAGATGTGCACCAGAGAAGACCTCAAGGACCATAAAAAAAACCCAGTAATCTCCGTTATTCATGGTAAGCTCCCAACAAAACCCCGAGTCTAGCCCAATAAAAGTCCCAAATCCGAGATTATGGGTTTTCTCCCGCCCACTAAACCCCTTAAGCCCTTAAACCCCTAAACCCCTAAAGGCCCTAAACCCCGAAACCCTATAGCCTACCACACCCCTATGCAGGAGTACTGTGTGTGCTTCAACTCGTGGCTGAAAGTTGACACCTACTTGTGGGTGGAGCACCTGATCAGCACCAGCAACCACCAGGAGTGGCGATCCACGGTCTCCGTGGAGTGCACGGAAACGATCCCAGGGTCGTGGGCCGAGAAGGTCGAGATCTCCAAGGCTATCCGCTGCTTTGCCGTGGAAAACAACGCCAGACTGGTGGACGTCAAAGAGGATGATGTCAGGAACTCCGAGCTCGGAGTGGCCGGGTATGCCGCTCTGTTTGACAAAACACCGGCGGCAGCGCCGAAAGCGGGAGGGGACGGTAGCAATGCCAGAGGAGGCAAGGGTAAGAGGACCACGCCGGTGGAGGATGCCGGTGCTGGTTTGGCGGACGGGGAGCCTGCAGCAGGGACGAATGGTGGGGAGGAGCCCAAGGCCAAGAAGGCACGCAACGGAGCCAACGTTCTTTCCTCGAAGAAGGAAAAGGAAGTGAAAGAGCTCCTGGCACAGGAGCAAAGCTCGGACAATACCATGTCCGTGCTGACGGTGCAAATGGGCAAGGGCGACGCCTCTTCATGGGCTTGGGCAAGTGGGTTCGTGAAGAACTACAAGGATTGCCGGATGCAGGTGCTCCAGCTCTACGCCGATAATCCCTTCTTCCAATCCATGAAAGTGGCCGTGCTTTCCTCTAAGGAGCTGCAGAAAGTCAAGAAGGATTACAAGGATCTATATGTCCCGAAGTTGTGCGATTTCGTGAGCATGCTAGGCCCTAAAATCCTTGCTATGGCAGAGGCTAGTGCCCAAATCCAGTTGATGGCTGAAGCCAAGCAGAATGCTTCCGAGTCAGCCAAAGCTACCCCTGGACCCAAATCTAAGGCTAAGTCCAACAAGGGCCCCAAACGAGCGGCCTCGCAGGCAAGCCTTGCTTCCGCTTAGAAGGCCCACGCCTTGGGTTTTCGATTCAAATCTTCAAGTTTCGAGCTTGCCGGGTAGTGCCACAAGCGGAACATGTGGATCGCGGGCTCAAGTTTGGGATAAGTTGTTCTTTTTTAGGGCTCGGGTTTAGGATAAGTTCGTGTTTAGGGCCTGGGTTCGGGGATTAGGATAAGCTCTTGGGCTCGAGGGTTAGGGCTCACCGTCCGGAATGGGATAAGCTGTTTTTTTTTAGGGCTCACGGTCCTGGGTTGGGATAAGCTACTGTATTTTAGGGCATAAGTTCGGGTCGTTTCACGCTTAACGCCTTGTGGTCAAAGGTTCCCTTCTAGTCTAGGGGTTTCCAATTAAGCCTAGTTTATTGCAACTGATCCCATGTGCTGCTTGTGTGGCTTGGGTCTCGTGTACAGTGTCGTCTCACACAAAACAGCTTGTGCTGAGCTTCTTGGAGCAACGAGCAGCAAAGGTGCGGGGAAATACGCCTCGAAAGTTTAGCTGCCGATGCAACAACATGATCGCTTCGAGTTTGGGCCATGCAGACGCCTAGAGGATTGCTTCGAGTTTGGCTCACGTACGAGCGACCCGTGTATGTATGTGTGATAGAAACATATGCATGGTAAAGGTATTCCTTTGCATGGAATCTAGTCGTATGCTCCTTTATATAATCACAGGATCTAGACTTCTGTACATACTGTCTGCACACTGTGTGTACTTTTCGCTAGGGCCAGGCCAATCACTTACTGCTGCAGCTCGTTTATTCTTGTATCTACGTAAGTGAGACCGACCATAGACCATGATGGCATGTGTGTCGCATGAGCTTCAAACGTGCTCGTGCTGCAGAGCAAAGCAGGGGTTCCAGTTTTGCCGTGCCCGATGCATTTCAGGACCCCTTGGTTGATGAAGGTTCGAATTCCGAGGCTGCTCAGAAATTCCGACGTCTGCTGATTGAAAAATATTTGGATGGGTCTGCCACGGCAACGGATACCTGCCAGCTTGCTTACTGGCACAACGAATCAGGAGGCGAAGGTGCTGAGGATCTGGCTTTGAACCCTCGGACTGCTACACGCCATGCAGCTGAACATTTGAGGTTGGGGCCTTTAGCAATAAGTGCTGTATTTCTGCAAAACTTGATTGTATGGGTGCCCCAATAAAATGCTAGCCTAAACCCTCGACCCATCATTACACCATTGAGTTCCCAATTTGGCTCTCGTACTCTGCCCCAGGTGTCATTTGGCTAAAGAGTTCCCGGAACCTGATGTGGAGATGGTTTCTGTTCCGATGTATTTGAAGAAAGCCGTGGGGAGGACCATCGTGCAGCACCCCACACGTGTCGCTTCGATCATGATACGCAATGAACTAAAAGGTCTGGGTATCCTTGGGTCTGACGCTGAGCTGTCTTCCGCTGCTGTGCAAGACTTTCTAAAATCCGACGAAGAATTAGGGGATCTGTACGAACGCCATTGCATCACAATCGAAGCCCTTCGCCAGGGTTTCAAACGAGAACACATTGTGCCGCTGTCCGTGTACTTTGACGGAGTCCAGTATTCCAAGAATGAGAATTTTTTGGGATTCTATATCACCAATCTACGTACAAAAAAGCAAAGGTTGGTTTGGCTGCTGAGTACCTCGACAGCAGGCAGAAACCTGTACGTGTTATTTAGGTAAGTTAAGTATGCTTGTATGTTGTGCATGCATGTTTAGTATGTATATGTATATCCATGTCTAGGTTTTTGTACGTGTCTGGGTCATATGTAGGTAGAATAGGTGTAGGTTAGGTGCATGTGCATGCGAATGTTTATGTACTAGATGTATGTACGTGTAGGTAGATTGGATGGATATATATACATATAAATAGATGTACGGTGTGTATGTGTGTGTATATATATATATATATATTGTGAGAACGAGCAAAGCAGGATTATCGGAGCTTTGTGGCTGTGGCTGCCGTGGCTGGTGTTCCGTGTTTCCACTGTTGGATTCATTCAGGCGAGATTTGACTGAAAAGCATGCCGACTTGAGATTAGCGGTCATAGACTTCAAAGCTGATTGGGCTGCACTGGTCGAGATAGCTGCTTTGAGAACATGGTCACACAACTTGCACGCCTGCCCTTGTTGTTTGGCCAAAAAAAGCGAGATGGACAACCTCGACGGCTTCAGTGCAACAACGTCTGCATTCACGCCGTTCGATAAGGACCAGTACGAAG